GTTTCAGTGCGGCAGTGCAGAACCTTGCCCTAAGCATGTGCCTGCAGGGTGTGCAGCCACCAGGAAGCGTGGATCTGATGCCTCTGGTCTGGAGGGAACTTCATGTTGGGGTCCAAAATAACTTGGTTTGCTTGCATTTCCAATGTAAGGAAGGAACACGCTGGACTCCTTGTGACTTGAAAAGCACTGCAAGCAAGTCCTCAAAAAGTCCTTGCAGTTTGCTAGCAGCTGATGTGATCTGAGGATAAACCAGAAAATTTCGTGTTACATAACAGCAATGTTGACCTGCACGCGAGTGGGAATTCTGATTCTTCACAGTGCCTGCCTGCAATACTGCAGAAAGATAAGAGAACGGATGGGATTTCCTTTGTGTTGCTACCTGGATTTTCAGTTCTTCTGAGTACAGCGAAATATCTGTAGCACTTGTGGCCAACTCATATCAGTAACTAATCTTAGAGCTTTCTATCTGGGCTAGAAAAATAAACAGACTTTATCAAAAAGCAAACAAAGGGCACAAAAAGGAAGAGAAATAAGCAGAATTTTTGAAAGATAAATTGAAATATAAAGCTTCTTTCTCTAGTGTAATAACTGGGAATTGATTTTTGGTTTTACTTAGATGTTTTACTTAAGGACTTGCATGGGAAATTCTGGTTGGACAGAGTGTTTCAGACTGCCTGAACCTTCTTCAGTGGTGACATGCAAGCTTGCCTTTCTCCTTTGTGTGTTTAATTCTTAGAATCTAACCTAGCTCTGCTGTGCACTTTGCAAACTGTGTGGGTTGTTACTGATGGCCAGAAGATATTATTTGACCTCTAGGTTAGATAGTAAACAACTAACTTCTGAGCTCTGGATTTGTGATGCCTTTTGGTAATTTTAAAGAAGAATGAGAATGCCTAACATTCAGTGTCCTTTCATGCTCTTCAAATGAAATCTTTGACCATTTGCTTAACCCTGTCTGGCTCCTGTCATCAGCAGTCTGATTTTTTTCCCCAGATCCACAGTTTTGCTTCCAATGCTGCAAGGGTCATTCTTGCCTGAACTCGTGCAGTGTAGAAGTGGGCTGACGTACTCCAGCAATTTAGCAAATACTTTATTTCTCTCCCAGCTGTCTTCGTTCCCTACTTCTCCCACAGTATAATATAAATGTGAACTATGTATTAGACTGGCATTACGAAGAGATTAACTTTGCTCTGGAAATTTGTAACCCATTAATGCAAAATTAGTGACTTCAGATGGGGGAATTGAAGCAAGCCCCTCCCTCCTTGTCAAGAGAAGGGCAAGCAGTTGTAGCGTTCAGTCACTGAATAACAAAGAAGCCCCCGTGCCCTGTTATGGCCCCTTGCCTTTGGTTGTCCTTCATGGAGCAAAAGGCACTGCTGTGTCAATCTGCTTGGCACAATCCAATCTTTCACTCTAGCAGATCATCTTTTGAACGCTGTTGGAAACCATTAGTTGCCATTAGCATATAAACTGGATTCTCTCTGCTAAGAGAGGAGGGAACAAGATTTTATTCACTGTAGCTTTAATCAGCTGCTGTTGGCATAGCTCTGAAGGCAGCAGTCTGTGTGCTGTGCTCCAGACCTGCTGCAGGAATGGATACAGCTGTGATGAGGAATAAAATAGGCAAATGTGTGTGGAGGATAACCCAGGCATATTCCACTTCTGAGTGAGGAACTGTGAATGCAACTGAGTGCTTTTCCTCTTAAAATCTGGCAGTGCAATGCGAGCCGTCTTCCCTAGGGACGTGGGAGGGAGGAGTAGCAGTGCTGGGCAGATGGCTGTACTCTTTTCTTTTTTCTGTACACTTTTATTTTTCTCCTTCCCACTTGGTAGAACAGCTTGGGAAACTGTGCAAGGCCTAATGCTTCTGCAGTGAAACTGGTCTTACATGCAAAACTTAAATAAACAAGTGCTAGGAACTGAACACAGAGCAGTTTATGAGAACAAGGAGTACATGAACAGACTTGTTTCATTTTTTTCCTGTAGTATCACATCTTTACTTACATTTTAATTGTCCTGGCAAGTTTAATTAGCTCAAGTAGTGAAGATCTGCATTGTATGTGTGAGGACTGAACTTCAGTGACCTGTGTATGGTACTAGCATTGTATATTGCATAGTACTATTGGAGCAATTAAACTGTTCTTTTTTAAATTTGAGAAGCTAAGCATGCCAGCCTCTTCAAATAACCACACAGAAGCTAGGAAATGCTTGAATGAAGATGACCAAGATAACTGTGTCCCAGCCCCTTGGCTGGTGTGTGCTTTGATATGGTCTCCAGTTGCACAGCTACACGTACCTTTGCTGGAGGAGGGGACTGCTCTGGAGTGACTAGGGGTTGCCAAACCCATGACTTGTCAGCTTTCTTAAACTTTCTCATTGACTTTTGTGCCCTGTGTAGTGAATAAAAATATGTCCAGAAGCTTTTCTGAAGCTATGAACCTGCAGCTGCTAGGCTGACATGCTGATGTCATGCTGGTAAAGCAGCGTTTTTCAGCTGTGGTACATATCCCACAGGAAAAGAGTGTGTTGCTTTAGCTCAAGAGTCTGAACTCCAATCTTGTATGTATGTGGCTTGCCGTACACAGGCCAGGAAGCCCACAGGGCATCCTGGGATGAAGTCTAGTCAACATTAGGCAAAATGTCTTGGCTTTAAAACAAACTCAGACTTGCAGGATTGTTTTTGGTTGGATTTTAAGAATTTTTTCCAGTCAAAGATTAAAAACTTCCTTTATCAGCCCCAGGTAATCATGGGAGACAACCCTGTCCATGGAAGGGGAGTTGAAACTAGGTGGTCTTTAAGGTCCCTTTCAACCTAAGCCATTCTGTGGTTCTATGATATGTTTCCAAGGACTGGAACTTCTACTGCAAATTCTGTGCTGTCATGATGTTACAAAATCATCAGTATTGGACAGTATATACCTGAAGCGCTGGTCTAGATGCAAGAGGGCAGGTATTTCTTCGTGTTGTTGCTGCAGGCATTTCTTACCATGTGATGTGATTTGCCTTTGAGACCCACAAGACACCTTCCTTTATTGTTTCAAACTTCATTAATCTCCTGTTAGTTTTTTCTTCTCCTGCATCTTCTTCTCCACTCATGTCAGTGAGTGAGCTATGCGGTATTACTTTGAATGTGTGATTCTCAGTCAGCAAAAGTATTTTATATCTCCTTTCTCATCATCTCACTGGCTCCTGCAGAGTTTGGGGTTTATGGAAAATCAGTCCCGTGTGGCTCACTGGAGCATGTCTTGCCCAGACAGGGAATTAGAAGAGACCTGCCTGGCACTCTACAGTTCTTCTTTCCATTACTCCATTTTATCCTTACACCACAACATTCTTGTGGTAGAAAAGCATCTTTAGAAACCAGAAATGAGCTACTTTAAAACAAGCTGCTAAAGCAGCAATGTGAAGTAGGGTGGAGGGGTGGAATTCTGTTCTACTCAAGGCTATTTGGTATCAATGATGCCTTCATGTTGGCAAACATTAAGAGCAAACCTTGCACTGACAGGCTGACTCACCCTGAAGCAATGAGCAAGCCTGTGAGAGGCTAGAGATGGCAGCATGTTCTCTAGTTCATTTTCCCTCTCTGTTGAGCCTCCTTGTGGCAGTTTCTACCACTGCAGAAACCTTTGCTCCGTTTATGTGACTGGTGTGAGCTCAGCCATGCTCACCCCGACCTGAGCACACTTGTCTACCTGCCGGGCTGCACAATTGCTGCAATATCATTGCATCTTTCAGACACGGAAATCAGCAGTGCTTTCTTCATTGGATGCTCCAGGTTATCTCAGTTCTGAGACTTCATGTTCTGTTTACATATTTTAATTTTTTTTTTCCTACTTCCATATTTTTGGTATTAAGTCTAACCACCCATTTTCTCATGTCCACCTCCGTCTTACTGCCAACCTGTGGTTTGACAAGGTCATATCTATTACTACTGAAGTGATTCAGGAATATTTCAAGTAGACTGTTTAAAGGATGCTAGGAATCTTTCTCCAAAGATACAGAGATGCTTGTCAGTACCTGTTGAAAATTGCATTCATATATCACAGGGCCCTTTTGTTATGGGGTCCTTGGAGGTAGTATTTATCTGTCCCTAAACAGGGCTGTCATTTTACTCTTTTAAAGTGACTAGTGGAGAAATTGGGCTTATTGTGTACTTGGCTTCCTATTAAGTAACGCTGTATATTTTAGATAGTTTCGTTTTGCCTTTACTTAGCTGCAAGCAAGTCCAGAATGGGATCTCTGAGGGAAACTGCAAACTGCAGCAAAATAGAAAATATAATAGATTACTGTTAATTTGTTTGCTTTGCCTGTTTCAGTTTCCTTAAAATGTGGAGTATTGTGCTGGTGACTCTTAGCTGGTATCTCTGTGCTTCCACCATACAGATAATGAACTATCTGTCTGGATCCTTCTTCCTTCCACCTGCTAGTTAAGCTGTTCACACTGAGTTTAGTAAAGAGACAAGATCTACAAAGCCAGGACTGGTTGTGCTGCATGGTGGCTAAAGGCCCAGTTGTAATAGGTACTGTGTAATATAAACCTGGATCCTGCCAGTTAAGCTGGTAGATAATCCCCAGTAAAGAAATGTTGCTGGTTTAAACTGCAATAAAGAGCAGGAGTTACCAGTTCTAGTTAGTGCCTGTTGCAGAAAGGTATCACATTAACTCAATGTGAGATTATAGTTGCTGGTCACTATATAGGTCACACAATCTACACATGCATAAATATTGTGATGGTTTTTCCCCCAGCTGCTTATCAAGATATTTTTAACTTCTCAGTGTGCACTTTAAAAGAACAGGCTTTGTTTTCATGACAAGAAAGCCTCACAGCCCTTATTTCCTCCTTTCACTATGTATTGCTTGTAGCGGAAAAAGCATCACGAAGGAAACTGTTCTGGGTTGGCTGCTTACACAGAGTCCTTAAGAAGAAACCAGGGAATTTGGAAAGAAATGTGGTCCTGTATCTGAAGTAGACTTTAGTGTCTGAAAGACTGAAAAGCTGCTTTAATATGGGAGCCCGGATTCAGTAGATAAACATGGAACATGAATTAGAGAGGGGCAAGCTGTCACCTTGAACAAATCTGTGACAAGTTCTGGCACATCTGGTTTATGAAGAGCTCTCAGAAATTGCTAGGCAATAGATAGAAGTAAGTAGGCTGAGGATGAGACCGTAAGTACCATAAACTTCTCCATGTTGGTCATATCACATCTGCATGAATAGTCGAGCCAGGCTCTTTTCATTTGAGTATCGTCTTTGTTTGGCTGAGTTCTTGGAGGATGTAGAAGTTCTCATTAGGGTTTCATTAACTCACTGAAGATTTCTGTTTTCACCTGTGCAGATGAAATCATGCAGCAGGAGATACGGCCGCTGGTTGCAGTGGATATAATAGAACAGCTACACAGACAATTTGCTATCTTGTCAGGTAAGAAGTTTCTCATAATTACATTCTGGGATTCTCTTGGAAATGTGCTGGAATCTGTCATACTGACTGTTACTATTCAGTTCTGCACAGCAGTCACAATAGCAGTTTTATATTGCCAGTGAAAAGGCCTGTCATAATCAGGCCCTTACAGTGCATAGAACTGATAAATGCCAGCCTACTGTGTCTCTTTTTTTGAGACAAGTTAATTTTCTGTGCTTTTCACAATGGTAAGAAAATAAATAAACCTTTTTGTACAAGAATTTGCACAATATCCAAGCATGCTGTTTGTGGGAAAAGTTTTGGTTTATCAGGGAGTTATTCATGTCCTTCCCCCTCTTCCTCATTTGCCTTTGTTTTAGAAATGATTCATTTCTATAGTGTAAGGTTCTAATCTTTTAAAGATTTGATTATTCCATATTCCTTTGTTTGCTTGAAGTTTGCAATCACACAAAGTGACGCAGTTTCTGCCCCAGAGAAATAGCTGATACTGAAATATCTGCCAAATTATTTAACACACTTCGGCTACTGCAGAAGAGAAATCCTTAACTGGGTCCTAAAATGGCTTCTTTATACTTTTGTAAATGCTGACTTCAGGGTCTCTGGCAACTCCTTTTGTCTCTGCCTGTTCTGCAAATAAGGAAACTGAGAATTTGCCTTTCTTCCTCCTCATAGACACACAGTAAATTATCATCAGTTTCCACAAAATACTCAGACGGTCATAAGGTATTGTTGGACAGCCTGTTCCTCTCTAGTGGAGAGGAACACTGGGTACACAGTGCAGAGTACACAGACACGGCTCTGCAGATGATCAGCTCAGCAGGCCCAATCCCTGCTGCATCTTGCACTGTTAAGGACACTCCAAGCTGCCGACTGAAATCCTGGCCTAATGTTGCATGAACAGATTTGCAGGCAGTGGGTTGGACATCTCTGCTGTAGAGGATAGCGAGTAAGCTGGTATTGTTGTGAAGTGCACAGATCCCATGCAAGGTCACAGAAGGAGTAGGAGCTCAGGAAAAGCTGGGAGCACCTTCCGCTTTATGCTATGCTTTGTGCTTCACTGCAAAAATGACTGAGTGGGAGATGAGAATTTCCTAATGTGGGGTCTGTTGTCAAATTTGAAACCAGTTATCATAAAGAACTTCATCAGGAATGCTGTTCACATCCCTTTCATTAGTGTTAAACTGACTGTAAAGTATTCTAAATACAAGGAAGGAAGCGGGGAGATCTAATCATTCATTGTTCAGCTCCTTTTTGGGCTCAATAATGGCTTCAGCCAGATCACAACTGGGCTATTTTTCTGCTCGTCGTAAGCAAGAAAACACTTATCAAGGGGTCTCTCTAGAATGCTCTGCTTGCTTTTTCCACTCACCAAACACATAAAGCTATTCAAACCAATATTGTTTTCAAGGCCTTTGATTTAACTGAGACTCAAGTGTCTGAAAATGTTTATATTGGTGTAAACAGCATGGCATATTAGGAATTCAGTGCCTCATGTGCAATGTCTATCTGGTAAATGTACAGAGGACCACTTTTCTTAATCTCCATTAGCTTGTAACATTTAAGAACAGTAATAAAAACTGTGCCTGGCATGGAATGAGCAACTGGTGGAAAGTGCCTCACTTGAGGAAGAAAAACCCATTTCTAGTTCCAGCTAGTAACATTCAACATGCCACAGAAATGTGAGGGGTAAATGTACTAAAGAAAGAAAAAAGCCTTATGGACATATCATCTCAGCAGTGCCTGTATTCTCATCTGCTATTACAGCAAATTCAACTCTTCCCATTGATCTGCTTCTTTTATTCTTAGAAGTGGTTAGAAAGAGGTTTAAATAAAACTGTTTAATCGTAAGGTACTTCAACACTCTTGAAGATAGTTTTTCAGGGATGGCAGGGGCTGAGAGGAATCAGCATGCAAATACGTGTAACTGAGACCAAAAGCCTCTCACATTCCACCTACGTAAATAATCCTATTTGTAGATTTCTTAGGTTAACCTAAATTCTTATCTGTACAGTCCAGAAATAATACCCTGATAAGAAACGGGGCAGCACAGTTAAGACTGAAGTCTTTTTAGAAATTAAGAAGTTTACAGCTATATTTGGAAACCCAGGTGCCCCTGCTGAAGTCTCTGAAATGCCTGTGGCAGCCCTTTGCAGGACATAACCTGCTCAGAAGTTTCTTTTGCCCAATATCGTATGGCTGCTGACCACTGGTGGGCTGAGAAAAATGGAAGAACAGAAATACTCCTTTTTGTCCCTTTGCTGCAAACTGAGATTTAGCCAAAGCCAGAAATAGACATACTTCTAAAAGCACATTTCTCTAAGGGTTACCTGTTTTTTTCCGGCAGCAAAATGAGATTCTGGTGTTTTGATTTGTTTGTTTGTTTTTCGTTGAATGAAAACAAATCTGGCTGCTCTCCTGTCTCACTTACTAAATTAATTCACACATAATTACCTCATCTTCTTTTATTTTTTTTTCTGTTGTATGACTGTTCATTTTCCTCACAGCACGCTGCTTTTCATTGGGCACGAGCAACCACAACTATTTTGGTGCTTCAGTGCTTTCTTACATGGAGACCGAAAATCTCCTGCTATGTTGCTTATTTCCTGGTCTTCCATGCTGTCACATTGCAGCTCAGTAGCCATTCTGTGATAAAACTCTCTGCTCTTTACTCTCATCACAGCAGGGAGGAAGGCACTCCCTGATTGCCTGTGGACTGTTTTGGGCTGCTGGATCATGAAATTTACTGAATAGTTTTATAAAAGTAGTCTATTATGTTTTATAATACGTGGGGATATTTCTTTGACTTAGGCTGCAACCACCAGAGAGCATCTGATACCTCTGCCAGGCATGCACATGCAGAGCTCAGTGATGTTAGCAATGCCAGTGCAGTTTGTGCCACAGCACAGCCTCTGGCACTGTTGAGCTCTCCTGTCCAGTCCTGTAGCCCTCAGATCCATCTGTCCAGTGATAATGAGAATCACTAGTTGACTTTTGCAGAGTTTTTTTCTAGCTAATGTTTTTGGTTAATATCAGCTTTTTCTTAACAGCTGGCAGATGAGGTCAGGGTTAATGAAATCATGATATTCCTGTGCAGAAAAGCAGAGAAGATAGTAGAACGATTTAAACCAAAGGCTCTTTTTTTCCTCTGGACATGATTCCTTAGAAGTACTTTCCTCAACTACTGCTGTGTAAAAACTTCTCAGAAGAGGATCTGGCTGTCTTATCGTCAAGCAGTTGATGGGAACTATGCAGCTAGCTAATAAATCTGATGTTTGATTATGTCACTGTCTAGTTACAATGAATGTATTGGACACTGAGAGCATTCTGCGTGTCCTGGTCCTTTAGCTACCAGACTGACATCTTGGTTAGTACTGTTCTGTCCTTGCCAAGAAAAGGGAAACACTCCCAGTGCTCTTTGCAGGACTGCCATGGTCATGGAAAAGGCTGTAGTGCAGTGTGAAAAGGTCCTTGATCACGTAGCTCTACTTCGGTCACCTCTTCCATCTGCTGATCTCGCCTTGGTGAGCTTCTGAGATGTAGTGAGAGTGCTGGCTCTTGTGGTTAAATTCCAGTTTTGAAACCACTGCTGCCTCTTTCCTTACCCTGAAAACTGATCTCTCAATTATGGGATTACAGCTGTGACAACATAGGAGTGCTTTGCGCACCTAAACAGCAATGTTTGTGTTACTGTAGCTGCTAAGGGTACTATACCACAGGGCCGGGTAGTACTAAGAAGTCATTCTTTTCCTGACCTAAACCAGTTTTTACTGAAGAATGGAGGCCCTCTGGTAAAATACTCTTCCTGTCCTGCTGATGGACTAATAACCCACTCTACTAACCTGCTCTTATGAACTAATATCAACCTCCTTTTTATCTGCAGCTTCACAGTCTGTTCTTATCTCTAATCACTCTAAGAGCCTAATCTGCCAGTTGCAGCAATAATGGATCATGTTGCTAAATCACAAATTTATTAGACAAGCTATCATGAAATGTGTTAGCAGATATTCATTTGCTTTCTGTTCTGCTAAATCAGTGCACTCCAGCTGATTGGTAACTGACTCTAAAGCCAGTTTATTTCCAAAGCCTGGAGGGCATTTGGCCATCTGCTTCCTGCTCAAACTGAGCTTTTTGGAAAACCTGGCCTGACCCTGCTGAAAGGACCATTTGGAGCTTGTCTGAAAATCTAAACCCAGGAAGTATGGTTCAACTTCAGTGAGAAATTCAGCATTCACAACCCTTAATGGACGCTGAGAAACAAAACAAAAGCTATTCCAGAGCACGGAAAAAGCAAGCCTGACCTAGGCAGAGAAAATTCAGCCAAGACATGACTGAACCCTTCATCTATCTGACCACAAGATGAATTGTACTCAGCTCTGCTATGACTAAGGGAGCTCTCTGCATGTGGGCAAACGAAAGTAGTTTGGCTGCACATCAGCAAAGTTTGAAAGAAAACTTTGCAATATTAACTGATGAGTTGGTGTCTGTGGCTGGCTGGGGAGCTGTGCACTGCAGCCAGACTTTTGAAACTTCCTGCTGATAGCCTGTATTATTTTTTTTTTTCCATTTTGTTTTATTTTCCCAAGGGATTCAGAATACTTGGTAATACATGGTTAGAAATCACGAGTCTAGCTGCTATTATTACAAAAAGAGCTTCTTGATGTGGAATGGGACTTGAATGTATCCCATAAGCATCTAAACCCTTCCTTTGCTTGGTGCCTGGTTGGAAATCATAGGTGAAACAGAAATGGGGGGTGCTTGACTTCGTAGGACCCCAGCTGTGTCCGGGAACTTAGCCTGTAATTATAACTGCTTGTTGCTATTACATCTGTCATCCCAACATGCAACTCCAGCTGTGTGAGCTCTCAGAATGCAGCACTCACACCTCATTTGTCAATCACACCCTTCATACTGCTATGAAAAAATTAAACTTTGCTGCCACATCCTATTATCCCTCATGCATATTCTTGCTCTAAAATGCTTCAGCTGTTTTATTGCTGCAG